GTCCACGCATCTTCAAGTGGCTAAGGTTGAGAAATACTGATATAAAGCAAAATACTTGGTCACATTACAAACACTTCTACATTCATGCCAAGCCACAATGATATTTTTGTACAGAATATGGGTTATGTGTATCCAGGTCTCTAATGCAAGAGTAAAATCTGCAGAAACAGAAATGTTTATTTTGTTCTAAACTAGCAATAATTCAGTGACGCCTTAAAATCATCATACTGTAGTCCTAGGGCAGGCTTAAAATCTGGCACTCAGTGTAAAATGACTCCCACTTTCTTTCCAATTCATATAAATTATACTCACACGTAGCGTATAAACACCACAAGGATGTTTTAAGAAATACTGATGTCAGTTATTGTTAGATAAGAAAGGGTTAATGGAAGCAGGTGTGCTGCTAAAAACAGCCTTAATAACCCTGGGGAATTTACTAAATACCTTCCAATTGTCTGGGAAATTGAATCTCATTAATGGCTTTTCTCAAGGATCAGGAATTACCGAAAGGCTGATATCTCTCCCCCTGCCACCATCCAAAAAATACCTCCTGTCTGGAGTTGCTGCAATGTAAGTGTCTCCAAATGAAAGACAAATGATAGACTGCATTCTGAATTTTGATATGTAGAGGAGAGGAAGGGAGACACAGACATCTACAAAAAACTGAAGCAGTCCAGTGGCACCTCTGGTGACTGATGATTTTATTAAAAGATAGAAGCTTTTGTGAACTATGACAGATGCACGGAGTGGCTTGACCGATGTCAAATTTAAACTGGGAGGCTAAGGTACCTGTAACCTGCCTGTCTTCCTCTCCTCCCACCCCTGCTTTCTCCCAATTTATGTCTTACATCGGTCAAACCATTGTATGCATTTGGTGAACTGAATAACATTTTTTAGTCGGAAAATGTACCAACAGAATTCTGATCACTACGCTCTGATGGGGTTCACGTGTCATGGTTTGTTTCATAATAGTTTTGTAGGTGGCTTTCTACATTGTGCTAAGCCATAACCCATGGTTTGCAACCCACATCTAGCTAAGTGCACACCACACACTAAACCAGTGTTTTTCAAACCTGGCAACTCTAAAATCTGTGGACGTCAGCTCCCAGAATCCCCCAGATACCGGGAGGTGACCTCCACACATCTTAAAGTTGCCAAGTTTGAAAAACGCTGCACTAAACCAACCCCCAAGTACACAGACACAATGTTGTGTGTGACCCCAATCAATGCTAGGCCACGTAGATGGTCCTGCTCAGCTTTTAATGATTCTGAAAGGAATGGAGAAATCTTTGCACAAGTGACACCTTTGGATTTTCATCCAAGTGTGCACAAAAGAGGTTATAAGCTGAAACACTGCAATATAAGGTGGATTCCTTCTTATGATTTTGTCACATAACTTTTAAATCTTCCAATGTGAACTAGATCTGGTTTTAAAGCAGACTCTTCCAGGAACCTCCATCTGCAAATATTACAAGCCACTAGAGATCAGGGAACCTGCCTTACAAATAAACACAATAAGTTTACTTTCCTAGTAAGGCACACCCAACTTCCCCCCTTCACCATTGCAAGCTGGAGAATTCCTTGAGTCATTGGGGAAATAATATAGATTCAGATTGTTCTACTGGTGCATTACAGCATGGTTACATGATACCTGCCTGAAACTGGAGAATAACACAATCCTATACAAAAGTCAGTGAGTACGTAATGAGGCATTCATACATTAAGTAATCTGGTTTTTTTCTTACAATAATTTTCCAAGGTCCTGCAAAGCACTTCCTGATCTCTTAAGTATGTAATTCTGTAAGAGGAATTCTGCAGATGAATTATGCTATCTGCTCCAGTATTTGGGATCACACAATAAACGGCCAAATGCGTCCACAAAGTTCACAAGGAGGGACCGGAAGGTGACAGCCTCTACCACTGTGGGTCCCTCATAGTCTTCAGATCCTGGAAAGACTAGCAAATGTATTATGGGATGAGGTTTCCCTCCGTAAATCAACACAGGACTGCAGACAGCTTCTGTGGTTCAGTAGTTCTGCCAGCTGGGTTGAGATTTAACTTTGGGTTTGCTGGGACTGTGTGGCCCCAAACTATTTTGCTGAAATTGCTTTGAGGGAGTTTTTAACCCATCACCATGTCTGTATAATGTGTTTAATCCAGTCAGGTAAGAAGCCTAGCAGATGGATTCACACAACATACTAAGGTTGGCTACCTTGGTTGGGTTCTTTCCCCCCTGGTTTAGCATGTTGGGAAAAGCAGCAGGTGTTGTTACTTTATGGGCCAGGGGACTGTGCAAATTTAAGGGTTTATCTGGGAAGCAGGTGAAGTGCGTTGTGTGAATGTGGCCGGTGGGTCGGTCCCCTGAGGCTGCCCTGTCAAGTCAGTCGGTCGCAGCTCCTGAAACACCAGTCCTGAAAAAAGCCTGGCTGGACCTGCCATGTCTAGACAGTGGCCTGATGCCCAGGAAGGGGAAGAGAACAACGCAGGGTCAGACGCTGCGAGGCACCGGCGTCTTTGTGCTCTCAAGGCTGACCCAAGAGGCGCAGAATGAGTCTACCTTCTGCGTTCCCGCCACGCGCCGAAACGAACCAGCCGGGCCGGGTTCGCACCAACTCG